CATCTATCTATCTATCTATCTGTCTATTTATGAACCTACCTACCTACCTATCTCTTCATATAATGTCTTTAGTTTAGTTTTAGTAGAAGTTTTACGACGCTCGCAACTGCATAAGGTCATATGAGCGCAAACTGTGATGTGTGCTGCATCAACGAGCAACAGGATGCCACCAGCGTTGATGATGATTTTGCGTCGTTTTTGCCCAGGTTTGGTGTACTCAGAGGACCAACAGCGTTGTCTGCCAAGGAGTGAAGTCCCTCCCCCCTGTGGTACTCTTGACCCATCTCAGGTATGGCGAACAGGTCCTCAGTACCTCGGGCCGGGGAAATAACTACCTACCTACCTCGTGTCTGTCTAAATTGACTACCTCTGTTCACCTAGCAAAAGGGATTCGAAATAAACAACAGCAACAACAACGATTGGGCCTTTTTTACGTCCTTCTTTTCGTCAATTCGTCTGTGTTTTTATTTAACATAAGTGGGACTATTATGCTACTTCAACAACACTGGGCCTTTTTCGTCCTTCCCTTCGTCCTTTCCTCTGTGCTTTTCTTTTAATTAGGATTATTAATCTACGCTACTTCAAGAACACCAAACGTTGAATCCTTTGAAGTCGAAGGTTTGCTTAATCACGTCTATAAAATGGTCGATTGTGTGTATAAATCAGGCCTATAAGGACTGTGATTTGTATAAATCAGACCTATCGGGTCGTCTGTGTGTCATCCAGGCCTATATGGACTCTGGTTTGTATAAATCAGCCCTATGAGGTCATCGGTGTGTATAATTCAGGCCTATAGGACCGATGATTTGTATAAATCCGTTCTTCAGGGCTGATGGTCAGTATGAATTAGACCTATAGGGTCGATTGTGTATATTAATCAACCCTATATTGGGCCGATGATTTGTATAAATCCGTTCTTCAGAACTGGTGGTCAGTATAAATCAGACCTATAAGGTCGATTGAGTGTATAAATCAGTCCTTTATATATAGGGACTTTGGAGAGAATAAATCAATCACCTTGGGCCAATACTGTGAATAAATCAGCCGTTTTGAGCTGAAGATAATAATAATAATAATATGCAGAACTTTACCTCTAAAGATCGCAATCTGTCCTGACTCTTGGCAATTTCTCGAGGAGAGTCACGGTTTATCTTTGATTTGTAATCAGTTTCCGTGGCATTTTCTTTCTTTTATTTGTTGTCTTTGGTCTTTCTCGATCTCCTCGTCTGTCTAGAATATCCCTGAAAGAGCAGTTCTTTGCTTCTGTAGAAGCAGTGTATGTGCACGATGGGCGTAAGCTTTTATTTCAATTTCTTTATGTCAAAAGCTGTCTCGTCTGTTATGATGATAATTTTGATGATGATGAGGAGGAGGATGATGGTAATAATAATAATAATAATAATAATAATAATAATAATAATAATAATAATAATAATAATAATAATAATAATGATAATAATAATAATAATAATAATAATGATAATAATAAAATAATAACAATACCAATAATAATAGTAACAATAATAACA